GCTTTTGACCAAAAGCTACTTTTGGGTTCCAGCCAAACGGGCCCTAAGCCTCTTAGAGACTAATTGACTAATCGATTTGCTCTGGTTGCCATTACCAACGCTGAAGTCAAGAGAGACATTCGAGGCCGTCCTTGCGCTGGGACATCTAAACACCCTGGATTATCTCAAGATGGTGTTCAAGGACAATGGAAGTCAAATCATGAAGTGGAAGAAATGCGGAAAAAAATTTGAGTCACCAAATGCAGTTCTTGTAGATCACCAAATCATTGCATCACCACCTGCCCTCTTCGACTGACCCAAACTAACCAGTCCAAAACTCCTTCAGGTACCTCAGTCTCTCGCTCAGTTTCACGTACCTCAACCAAATCGGCTGCTCTATCCTCCAAGGCTATTGTTGAAGTTTTTTCAGAAAGTTTGGACACTGAGATCCAGCTTGGATCTCATGAGTCAACCTCGGACTCCGACTCCAATGACACTGACCATGATTCTGAAGATGAACATGACTTGTGTCCGTTTTGCAACGACCCACTCCCTGATAAACCTTCACGTAAGCTGCTTGACATGAAGGCTTCTCTCATGCAAATGCCAAACATACGTCAAGGAATAGGCCGTACTGGTGCCATGTCTTTGCCCGTGAGTCTTTTCTCTGTTTTGTATGTAATTGTTTCCTTTATGAAAACTAATGTCATTAATTGTTCCATCAGTTCAACCAAATGGCTGACTTCTGCCAATTGCATCAATGGGAACAATACACTATCCCACTTGGTATTGCTAAGGGGTGGCCAACTATTATAGATTTTCCAGGATTAGCAGCGTAAGATTAATTCCAATCATTCATTCATTCATTGCATGCCTGACACACGCACTAACCTTTCTTATTCATCTATCTTATTATTATGTTTTTTCAAAAGGCGTATCATTACACATGCAGAAGTGCTACAGAATATAGTCAACCAAAGTCTAAAGTCTTCCTATTTAGAAGACACCGGGAACATTTTTAAATGGCATGGTGGTATGCACCAGCACAAAGCACTGGGACTTGTGATGTTCAATCACATCCGTGCTGTGTGATGTAATAAGGATGTGATTTTGAGTAGGTTGTCCTGGAAGTGATTCAACATCGCATGCGAGGTTGGATTGCAAGGGTTCATGTGATTCAATTGCGCTGTGATTTCACATTGCATGGATCCTTTGTGATGTAACTTTATGTGATGTAACATCACTCAGATTCAAATGCATGACTAGCATCTGTGCGACTCAACCCTTTACATCGCTCGCTGTACATGCGATGTAAATTATTAATCGCAACCACTACAAGCGATTCAATATAAAATTTCAAAATGTGATGCATTTGAGTGTATTGGGTTAAGGGGACTAAGTAAGTGTATGTAGCAGGTGCCCAAAGGAACGACGGCACCTGCGTATGTAATTCCATGAAAAAGGAACTAGGAACTCATTGACCGGGCGGACTCGGTACCCAAATGATCAGGTACCAAGGAGAGATGGGGGAATGGATTCCCCCAACGGAAACAAAATTTTGGTAATGAAGAATTATCTCTTCATCCAAAAATCCGTTCCTCCCGATACTAACAGAATGTA